GGACTAACAGAATATTTTTTGCGTATTTTAAATTTAAACCTGATTGTTGTACATCTTAAAACTTAATTATTATGTTGATTTAAATCTCATTTTAACTCCAAGCTATACTATGATTGTTTGTAGTCATAATAAATATTTTTCAAAAACAAAATTTGAAGTTCTTCTAAATGTTTTTCTGCATCCTTAATTGTGCAAAGGCAAAGATATCTTTTGTATTTATATCGGCGATCAGGTTGATCTCAGACCTGTTTTGTTGTCTTACAGTTCTTAAGACTTGTCAATGAGATTTGGCATGTGTCAGTCTCGATTTTACTCTCCATCGATTTGAACTATATTACTAGACAACAACTACATTTCTGATAACCATTTCAGTCATTTCTTAAACCACCGTTTTTCACTGATGTGTTTGAATATCTGATTGATTGATTGATTGATTGTATTTTGCTGAACGTCCATTTCTATAAGTTTTCCCTCATATGGAGACGCCACCATTTGATGATGGAGAGCTGCAAATTTTGTCCTATACTCGTTTCTCAAGGCCATTGAGCAGGTAGGGATCTTTTTTCGTGCTAGCTTCTACTGCGACACGGGACCTCGGGTTTTATGGTGTAATCCGAAGAACCAGTCTCCACGTCCCACAGTGGGATTCGAACCCGTGACGGAAGGATCAATTCCTTACCTCGCGCCTCTAGAGCAGAGGTTCTAACCACTGCGCCCCGAGGACAACTAGTTACAAAGAAACAGACTGGTACGTCGCGGGTTCAAATCCACTAGCATCCCAGGATACAAGATAATGTTTTATCCCCTAAGGCAGTAGAAGTTGGCCAGTAAACGATTTCTTTATGTGAAATGGCCCCGAGTGCCGTTATAGATCATTTAAATATGCTGCCCTAATCCGGTAAGTAGCGACTCGATTAAGTTATCAAAAGGGACACAAAATAACAAAATAAAAAACATAATTTTGAAAAAGGGCTATATACAGTTCAGGCCTAAGAGTGTAAGAGTTTTTTTTCTTTTTTATAGATTCCGCTCATTTACTGTTCCTTTGCCTCACCCCTTAAACCCAAGGAAAAAGGGGGGCAATTAAAAACATTTTCCCCTTCACTCCAGGATGCTTTTTTTCCCCAAATTTGCTACAATAACTTGTTAACTTTACCTGGACAGCATAATATGTTAAAATATTTAAGCAGGACCGCTGACGAAAACAGATAGCAGTAGAAGGTCCCGGAAATGTAATGTCCGATTCCTTTTTTTTCCCAAATTCCTGATATTGCAATTAATATTAATTTCATAAAAGGTTTTCCTTATACATGAATCATACATTGTATTCGGGGTTACTATAAATGATAAGAAATAGTCCATTATCAACAACATAAGGGGAATGGGGTCATATCAGGTGAAAAGTAAATCTGGTTCGAAAGAGTTCATAAATCAGTCAGTAAGAAGATAAACGTGAAATTGTTGTAGTAAATATATAATTTACGGGCAATACAGTATGTTGCTGACAATGCAGAAGATAAAAATAAAAAAAAAAAGAATCGAATCCAATTATTTAATAAATATATACCTATCCATGTCATTTAAAAATGATTGTAAAATAATATTTACTGTCCGTTATATTTTAGAGAGATCATTAGTTACAGCTTGCATGGCTATAGCGTCGCACAACAAATATCTTACGTCGCGGGATTGAAATCACGCTACAGCTAGGGAAAGCCGAGACCGCATTAACCGTGTAAATGTCATTATTTTCATTTCTGTGTGTTTTTGATGTACTAAATCAGATTTTTTGTTACATTAGTCATAGTTGAATAATAAAACAGGAAAATAAACACATATGTATGAGAACCTAAGCTCCAATGGTCTTTTTTTTTTTTGTATTGCAAATCACAGATTGACAAAATCTTTAAAAAAAAAATACACTGCCGTCGTGTTACATATGATTCATACTTTACGTATAATTGGAAATTTAAGCGAGACGAAAATCAAGCGATTTTTCCTTACAAATTAGTATTTTACTTTAAGGGAGATATAATTTTAGCTATTGAAAAAGCTCACTGAAGAAGCTATTACAAATAAAGCGCAATTAATTTTTAGCGATATTCATTTTTAGCGAACGTGGCACCCTCGCTAATAAAAAAATAATAGAAATTTGAAAAAAAAACAAATCACCATTTCTTTTTTTTTTCATGAAATAAAAAAAGTGTTTTACATTTGGTATTAAACTAGTGCTAATTGTAACGGGGACCGTTACAGATGTTCCCCAAACGCTCCCCAACTCCCTTTTGGTGCCATATTCCCTGTAAGCTTCATTAAATAAGACAAACTCGATGCATTTAAGACTTTAATAACGTTTACCCAGAAGTGTACCAAGTTCATTCAAATTTTGCGTGCGCATGTGAATGCATGTGCGTAATGACCATATCATCTTGTCTACACAATCTATATATTTTAATATACTTAATATTAAAGTATTTAATCCAAAAGTATTAAAAAGATACGCTCATTCAAGTGTTTTTTGATTTTGCTCATTTCACGTGCACGCACGTGCATACATGAGCATGGTGACCATACCTTCTTGTAGATGCCCATTACATCTATCTATGTTCTAAATCCCACCCCGTTTGGTTGAAAACCAAGGGAGTTATAGCTGTTTAAAGTTTCAGCCAATCAGATTGCAGCGCACATACATGCACGTGTATGCATGTGCATGGTGACCATATTTTCTTGTAGTAGTCCAGTATATCTATCTATGTTCCAAATCCCATCCTGTTTGGTTGAAAATCAAGGGAGTTGTAGCTATTTAAAGTTTCAGCCAATCAGATTGCAGCGCACGTGCATGCACGTGTTTTCATGATAATTTCTATATAGCATGCTGTAGGATATCCTAATGCATGGCTATGTTCAAAATTTCAAAGGATTTCGTCAAAAAACAAGAAAGATATTGAGACTTTCGTTTCAGCCAATCAGAGCATAGCACACGTGCATGCGCGTGAGATCTTGCTATTTTGACCATGTCATCTTGTCTATATTACTAATATATCCTTACATTATGAGTTTCAAAGCATTTCATCAAAAATTAAAAAAGTTACGCCTATATCAATGAAATCGGTCATTTTACGTGTTGCACGTGCGCGCTCTTGCAAGCACGTGCGCGCAAAATGACCTTTGTTCGGCAAATCTACATAACATGTCTACTAACCCTAAAAACATTTTACCTTAGTCGGATGTGTAGTTTACAAGATCACTCGCGGACAAAATTTTCCCAGGAAGAAAAATAATAAGAATAATAATAACTAGAAAAGATACTCGTTGCGAGCAACGAGAGGTCTTCCGTCCGATTCTGAAAAAAAAAAAACCGTAAAATCAAACTGAAAAAGTGATTTTAAAAAATCGGGCACACTGGGCATTGAAACCGGGTTGCCAGCGAATATCGCGAAATTGGTTTTTTCTCATCCGATGAGTAACACATTCGTGAAAAGACTTTAATGTTTCACTGGAAAAAGATCTATCGCCCTCCGACGGTCAATGAATCTAATACTATTTATGTTCAATAGCTTGATTTAATCCAAAAAAAAAATCATATTACCTTTAATAAACAATCTTTTAAAAATATTTTTCTTATTTTTGTCTTTTCTATTTATTTAAAATGTCACAAGCCTGCGTGGAAAAATAAACAATAGTCAAGTAAGTACTTTAGAATCATATAGTGAATGTTTTAGTCAGGCAAGTTTCTTGAAAAGCTATTACTTATAACCATGGTTTAGGATAAGTTTTCGGTGCTGGAACACAAAAGGTTGTATATATCGTATTTCCACTTGTAGTCATGTTGTATTTTACTTTGATATTCAGACTAAAGCAATTTTAATAGACGTTTGAGAAACTTCAGACTTAACCTATAATATTAAAAAAATGCAACGTAATTGCGAAGTGGCAATCCAACGAATCCTTTACATTTCATTGATCTTTATGGTAGAAGTTTTGTTCATCCAAACGCTCGGCTGACCTTCTAGACCCCGACTTGCCTAATGGCGGAGTTTACAGAGACGCCCGCCATCTTGGACCCGCTTCAGATTTTTAAATGCGAATATCTAGTGTGTGGATTGATCAATTCTAAAATAAATTATATATTAGGCCTTTCCAGTAGGGTCTTTATTAAAATTAATTATATCAAAGAAAAATATTGAAAAACAAAAAAAGTTGAAAAACTGCACATTTTAAATTCGCTTCCTGTAGCGACCGGAAGTACTGACGACACAAACGAAGGCAAAATTGCACATCTATAACTGATGCTCCACCAAGTCCAACAAGTCTCCAGTGAATATCTTGAGCCGTTTTCGAGAACATTCGAAGACAAAAATGCATTTTAAAATCAGGAAATTGCCCATAACTTGGCACTGGAACCGAATTTTCCAAAGAACGGAATTTTATATAAAATTCATATAATGAGCCCCAATTCCTGAAAATTTCATTGAAATCTACCGAATAGTTTACGAGAAATCGCCTGCACAAAATTTGGTCAGAAGAAAAAAGAATAATAATAATAAGAAACAATAGAATCACTAGAAGGTCTTCCGTGAAGACGGAAGACCTTAATAATAATAATAAGAAACAGAGTAAAAACAATATGTTCCCCAACTTCGTTTGGGGAACATAATTAGGATATATAAAAATAATTTTAATACAATTTTAAAATATTGATTGATATGTTCTGAAGAATTAAAAACAAAAAACTTGACAAAGAAAACTATATAAATGGAATTCCGAGGATTTATGATTTTTCCTGCTGAGGGTACAATTGAAATATTGTAAATTAAACAAAATCGAATCATGTCTAGTTTAAAACTAAAGTTGATAAACTACCACCCACTTTATGTTTAACAGGAAAAAGACATGACTAGAATTAGGGCATTTATGAAGATAGTCGTTATGTTTCAAGGAGTTCAAAAAAAGGTCAAGGGAACAATTATGGGAACTAGAAGAATGGAGAGTATATCAGTAAGTTCACTAACTACATGTATCAGATCAACAGACGACTTCTAGTCGTTCAGGAGACTGGAAAAACGGTAAATTGCAACTTCTAAATTATAAAAAAATTAATGGAAATAGATCAGATGATGCTTTTTAAAATTATATTTCTTCATATTATAAAGGGAATCGATCTGTATTAGAAATGCATATGAATGTTAAAAAAATTTAAAAACATTTAATGCAATGTGACTACAATCTGAATACTGAACGTTATTTTTTCCGCGGAGCAGGAAGATGTTAATGAAAGAACGGAACAATCCCTTACCGTATTCGAAGAGAGATTTGATGACAAAATAGAAAAGCTTTTCGATTATTTGACCTTAATTCACTTTATCCACGTCGATCCAGTGATTATGAAGATCTGTGTTTGCTGTGCTTTAGATTTGTTTTTGTTTAACCTGACCTTGAACTTTAATACTGATAATTATTTCCATATTTCATTCAGTAATGATGCTAAACTTTTTGAATCGTCTATAAAAACCACGATAGTTTTAAATTTACTAAATCCAGCGGAAAAAATTAATCTTTGATAAAAAAAACCCCCATTTTTTAAAGGACCTAATAACCCTTTTCCTAAAAAGAAGAAAACGAAATGATAAAATAAATAATATAAATAAATTTTAATGAATCTTTTCACTGCTGATGGGAAATCAGTTATACTGCAAGCATTCATCGGCTTATAATAATAACTCGGCACAAACACGCAGAATTTTTTGGCACGTTAAACAATCTAAATCATCAGTGCTGATATTCCTGGATTCATTATTAATGGCCTGTTCACAAAAATTTATTACTTGTTTCTAAAACGAGGTAAATTAATGACAAGCAAATTGATGAAACAAGAATATCAACAATGTCGTTTAAAGTCATCATTTCGCAAGTTCTATGTTCGACACAACGACCTTGTCAGCAGAAACAATTTATCATTCAGTCAAATGCTGACTGACGTTTTTCTTACTAATTGTTAGACCATTATTTATACACTGAATTGACGACAGATTTTCCGTTATATCCCGATCATGTCAAGGAGCACACTGTGGGTGTGACCAGTCAGCAGGGGATGCTCACTCCTCCATGGCTTCTGATCCCACCTCTTGTGTTTCGGAGGTCCGTGTGTGCTCTTCCCCGATTTTGTATTGTTTTGTGGACTTTGATATTAAATACTGTTCGTTATCTCCATATCCTTCTTGTAGGTTTTTGAGATAAAAAAAATGCTGGTTATCTTCGCTTAATCGGACTTGTATGTTATCTTTATTATGGACTTGTTCGAAGAAAGACATTGCTTTGCTGCTGTCTGTCGGTCGATCCACTTATAGTTTCTTTTCTTTTTTTCGCAGTGGTTGCTCATTCTGAAATGAAATTTGTTTTACCCTATGTAGATTTTTTCTTAAGAATATTTAGGTCAAGTTCTGTTTTGGGAATGATCCAGTATTTTTTCGACAGAGTTATGCCCCTTGGACTTAGATATTTGCAGTTTCCGTTTAGAGGTTAAAGCTACTGAAATTAAATTTGGTATACGGATTTCTCATAAGAATATCTAGGTCAACTTCTGGTTCGGGTATGATTGAACCTATGCCCTTGGACCTAGAAAAATTCTAATTATTTGATGTTTCAGTTCATTATCTTTGCAGAAGCTACACTTGCTGAAATGAAATTTGGTTTATAGACTTTTCATGAGAATATTTAGGTTAAGTTTGGCATAAGTGTTCGACAAACATTTCTTGATTTTTTTTTTTTTTTGGAAAGACGCACTATGAATCTTCATCCAATCTACATCTGTATTGGGATTGTTTGTTGGACGGCAGTCAATGCAGTCGACCCATCAACGATTACTGACAGCCTAAGCCTTGCAAATGACCTAGGGTCGTTCATTGAAAGCCAGGACTTCTCCAGGACTGCGTCAAAACTGATCTCCTCTGTGAGTCCGTACCTCGGGGTCATCGGATCCGTATTATCATTTATCTTCGGCTTCTTTGACACAGGTCCTTCTGCAGAACTTCAAGCCATTCAGAAACTATACGAAGACGTAACTGTCAGATTTGACCGCATAGATCACCAGTTTGCCACAATTTCCCGCCAAATTGACTGGGTAAACATTGAGGTACATTATGGTACGTACGAGAGCACGATTCACGTAGTAGGAGAAAAATATAAAGCAATGGCTGCCTCAAAAAGTCAAGCCGAGTATAATGCAAGGAAGCAATTGTTTTTCAACAGCTTTAAACAATACAATGAAGCTGGAGGGAAGATTTACGACGGGGTGATGGGTCAAAGTAATCTTTTTAACGGACCAATTTTCGATGAGGCGATCAACCATTTACAGTGGGATCGAAAGAAGACCCAGCAATTCATGCTAGGCGTTACAAAATTATTAATAGACGCAGCGGCAATTGAAATCGCTTATTATGAACTTTCAAATCCGTCTTTGTCTCCCTTTATTCAGCATGATTGGTTAGTAAAGTTTGAACATTTGAAAAAAACAATGACTGCAACCGATCACAAACTCATGACGCAGTACGGTGGTCAACTGGCCATAGATGTGGATAAATTTGTCACAAACCATGCACACTCCAGCAACTGTGATTTAACTAATCCGTTGCATGACGTACTAACACAAAAATACTACTGGCGTAATTGGCTTGTCGTAACTAGCGATCACAGCACAGATCATACAAAATACATGGTTCACGTTTGTCCTGGGATGGGGGGAACCATTAACCAGAAACACGGTAAAAACGTAGTGGTAGCGAGTGTCGACATAAATAAAGCCCACCTCACTACTGACCAACAGCACGTGGTCAATTACGTTCATACTTCACACACATTTCATATCATGCACGGAGGGAAACGAGCTATCGAGAAAAGAGTTGGTCATCGTAGAAATGATGCAAATGTAGCTTACGATACATTTCCAAAGTCTGCTCGTTTCTTTTGCAGTACCTATGGTTCAATTGGTGTGATAGACAATAGTTTGAACACCTGCTTAAGGTCGCCTTACCTTCACGTATTTCAAAGAGATGACCGCTGGTACAAAGTCTACGCTTTTGGATAAACTTTTTTTTAAACACAATGGAAAACAATTTTCACTACATGTGTAATAACTAAC